GTGGAAAGTATTCAATTTTATACATTTTAATATTTTTATTATTATATAAGAAAAAAGAAGAAAAATTACTGCTGAATCAAGCGGTTGTCGTAAACACTCGTATTTATGACTTAAATACGAAATGATGAAATTATTAGACCATTTGAAATGGAGGAGTTTTATAGGCATGATAAAAAATCGTGCCTCATAAAAATACTGGGACATCTTGGCTCCAGACAAAACTGTAGAAATCATCATCCCCAATATACGAGTATTGTTCATAATAATGACGTATTATGGTATTATTCCTAACTGAAAAAGTCATTACCATTATCAATTTTGATTAAGATAATCCATCAAGTTTGCTTGTTTATCCACATTAAACTACAAATAAAGACGACCATACTTTTATGTTGATATAATTCAGGTCATATTATATTCAATTTAATTTGTGTTTAGATAGTGTCAGCTATTTTATGGAGAAATATGTTACCTTAGAATTATTTTCTTTTCAGTTATCAGTACTAGTTATCAATCACTTTGATGATTCCGAACCTTTTGAGAGGTTTGAGAGAGACGTGCTTGAAAATGAAAAGATAAAACCATTTTTCGGTTTTCATTTCGTTTACTTTTAAGAAATTTGGACTGCTAAGTTGAACATCTTGACTTTTTAGCTTGCTAGAGGTGAGCTAAATGGCTGCTGCTAGAGTTGTGGGCTTCGTGATATAGTCCAGCTTTCCTATTTCTTGTCAATAAACATGTCCTAGTAGAGAGATCATTAAAATTTAATGGTATGAAGCATTTCATCTTAGCAGTTAGAGTTATAACGCATGTGTAACGTTATTTGCTGAAAGAAGTTTTTTTGTTATAAAAATTAACTAACAAACGAATTCATAGTTCATCTGATAGTAAGTGGATACGGAAGTCCATGGACATCTGCAGCCAACTTCCAAACAAGGAAGCCACTGAAGACTAAGATGGATCATCTCACAGTTATTATGCTAGCTTTCTATACCCTTCAGCAATCTGATTGGAATCATCCAAAGACGTTAGTGGCTACTTTATACCAAATAAAATGCTAGCTTGTTTGCCATTTGAACTTAATAAAAATATCACAAAACCAAATATAACTCTGAAAGGTGGGGCGGAATGATTATAAACAGCGTCATATCACTCTGTTATAACCTTGATCTGCCTCCGAATGTTTGTAATATGTGTGATAAAAATAATATTTCCGCGGAAGAGTGACGTACTTCGTAATTCAGCTATTAAAATTTTATACCTGGAGTACACGAGATGTAAAAATTGATATCACGTTGAATTATTATTGTGAGAAGATGCCGTACTAGGAATATCAAAGTCAAATAGTATATGCTTCGTCTTCACTTATTACGTCTCCATACTCCTTATGTTTTCCGTGGCAGCTAACAAACTACTTGAGGTCGTCTCTTGTACATGCGCTCGACGTAACAAGTCGATATTAAGCCCATATTGGTCTGTTTCTTGAATAGTCGGTAGGATGGTGGAATGTCTCAAACTACGTAATATTAATTGCATAATAAACAACAAAGACGGAACGGTCTTTATTATTCTGCCCAAAGTGACAGCTAAACGATTCAAAATTTTGATTAGTTTTAAAAATGATAAAATGGTATAAATAATAATAAAGTAAGGCAATATTATATTATTTGCACTCACATTCGTGTAAAAGTATTGTGTTAACAGAATTATGTAAGTAGTTTTACTAATGGAAAAGATTTGCTTTTAAATGTGTTGTTTTACCAATACGTTAATGGGCAGGCGTATTACGTCAACAATAAAGTTTACTGGATAAAACATGGTATTTGAAGGACAGATTTCAAATAAATTGAAGGCAATTACCTATTTAATATTTGACCGAGATATTTTAATGATATGAATAGTGAAACATTCGTGTAAATATTTAATGAAAACAGCTATTTGTTAACAATTCTCGCTGGATATTGCTTTATACAATAAATAACATTAGCTATAAGATGATGGCATAAGTGAAATACGTCATATTTCGTTCCGTAAGTTATAGTGTCATAAAAGAATATTTTACGTTAATTAATTACGTACAAAATATTATAACGAAATTTTTTAAAAGAATTAGGGTAAAAATGAGCCAAATGTCCAACTGAAAGTAAATAGATACTTTGGTCCATGCAAACAATAAACAAACTTTAGTAAAAGAAGGGTCTTTCGAAAAATCTTTTTCTTTCTATCTACGGTCCGGAAAAATCGCTGGTGGTAAACTATTCCACAAAAAGATGTATGAGGAAGAAAACTAATAAAACGTATAGTGGTGGAAGGCCAAGCATCCAGGTGGTGTGAATGGTATCGGGAGATTTTGTCGCGATGTGCGTTCGTGAAATTTAGAAAAATGGGAAAAAGGGGTGGTATCTATCCAACGGGATCCTAGACATGAAAATAGTCCTACCGCCTACACTCGTTATCAAGTTAAACAAACCTAGAGGTGGGCAGCATCCTCTTTCAAAAAACAAGTAAAATTATTAATAATTGTAGTAACAAAATAACTGGACCTGGCTTATCAACCGAAATGTGGGATGGTCGGTCGACTGAAGTTATTTCTGTAGTCCTTTCAGTTAACGGGCTAATCCCGGTCAGTCTCTCTACGATAGTACCGGACCGTGCCGGGTTCAAATGCAGCCGGCAGCATGCCTGTTTCTTTTCCTTTCCCCCTACTCCTCAGCTGTTTGGTCTCCCCTGTCGAGGGCCTCCATCTGGTTGGGACATTATTTATTTATGTTTTTTGTATTTATTTATTTTATTCTGTTTAATGTAAATTTTATGAGGAAAACCAGATAAGAATACTATATTAATAGCCTAATAATAATAAACTGCGGTTGCCAAGCCGCTTGCTAAGCATGACAACTATGGTAAGTATGAGTAAATATGGTAAGTAAGGCAATCTACGAAGGAGAACCATTTTCATCAGTGGACTTTTGTTAGACTGCAAGGGTATTGTCATAAATACTCGCGGAATACCAGCGTAAAATAGCAGATTATTGCTGCTGTGTTTTATATGGTGAGTGTACAAAACTACAACTACATCTTTTCTCGATAAAAAATTTAATAAAGATGCGTTGACACCCCTGAGGGCCTAAAATGCCTAAAATATAATGTCTGGCTACCAGTAATAATAGTTAAGATGATTCGATACGAAATAAGAGATAATAAATTCCATACTCTACTTACTCCTAAATCTTTATGAATGTTTAATGTTCAGAAGCGTAACAATTGCCGTGACAACAATAAAGTACATTTATAATTTCCAAACATCACTATTCCATTATAATGTCACAATGACATTGGATCATCTATTATTACGTGGCAATTCAGTTACAGTATCTGATTAGTGAGCGTTAGATTCAGGCCCCGAATTATACATCTGTCGTCTGTAATGAAGATAGATAAGCACTTCAGTGGGGCCAATCAACCCTACCAAGCTCAAACGTGGCATTTGAGATAATAGACCGCTTTGATACTAAACGCTATAAGGTTTCAAATTGATAGCACCTTTGTATAATGAAATTCTTAAATAAATTAATGTGAATTTATTTTAGCATGGGTATATTCCACCGTAGAATAAATAAATATGTATTAAATATAATATTTAATACTATTCACAACTTCTCAAGTTGGTAATCGCTGTTAACTTTAATGTACATTTACAACAGTTTTACTTTAAAATGACTAAAATATTGATTATTTAATGATTCTCAATTATGAATTTATTTCAAAACTAGCTTCTGCCCGCGACTTCGTACACGGATCCTGTTGCTTATGCCAACGACAACGGGGTCGTCAAAATCGAAGATCTGAAACGTCTGATGTTGAATTCTAAGAGGCCGGGGACGGGAAAACAACGTGATTCGTGAGACGATTCGAGACGTTCTAGATCTTTCATTTTTGTAAGTCAACAGGAAATGCCCATCAGACTAAACAACTTTTGCTAAGACGTCATTTCTATATATGTTATAATGTCGCTGGGCTTTGGATGGAGTGTAACTCCTTGTGTGTTATTAAGTTAATATATTGGTAATATTGTTTAGATCTCGTTCACATGAGGCTTAAGTACTTATAGAACAAAAATACTTCAGCGCAAAGCTTCCGGGTAAACTATGTTGAAAGTTGACCCGTCCGGCACGTGAACATAAAGATTTCTAGAACTGCTAACCCGGGAAAGAGCGACGTACAACTGACCATGCGAGAAACAAATGACACCGAGATTTACTCCAGCAACACGAAAAGTCTGCCCTTGAGCCTTATTAATTGTCATTGCATAACACAATGATACTGGGAATTGCGTTCTTTTAAATTGGAATGGAAAATTATTTGGTATTATGGGAATTCTGGGAATAAAGACGGTTTCTCCTGCACCGCAACCTGTTAAAATTTGAGCTTCGATTATATTTTGTTGCAACTGGGTTACTTTTAGCCGAGTTCCATTGCAAAGTTGTGGTGGTCTGAAATTTCGGAGCAGAATAATCGGAATGCCAATTTTTAAACAAATTTTATGCGAGGGAAGTCATGTATTTAAAGAATTTAAAAATTCTATCGGGTAATTAGTGGCTTCTTGTTCATCAACCATTCTATTTATTGAACTATAAACTTTGCTTTCCCCCTGTACATTTGACAGTATTTTGTTATTAATCTCAGATACCTGGTCATTGCGAGGAGTTAAAATGAATCTTTCGCATAGCCAAAAATTGTCCCTATTTAATATAATTGTTACGTCACCGTAAACCGACGATATAAGATGTGGTTGGGATTGCACTATATAACATAACTCAGGCGTCAGAATAAGTTTTCCTTGGTGTAGTTGTTGATAGGTACCTTCTCCAATCTTTAATAATTTATCAGAAAATTGACGATCATCCGGGTTATCTCCAGTTCTCACTCGCATGTTTATAGTCAAATGTTCCGATTGTATATCACGCCACAAATAAGAGCTTTTTAGGCAAGCCCTAACCTCATCAGCTCGGGTTCCCCATGGTATATACCGGTAAGGTTTGTCGGAAATCACCACAAAATAAAACCGTGATACCGCCCATTAGTCGATCATTTTGTCTTATATCCCTTAAAGTTCTGTCTACCGCTTCTACTCCTTTTCGGTGGGCCATCATACATTCATCCCATATGATTAAATTACACTCACGTAATACCTTAGCTTTGTCGCTATTTCTTGAAATACTACAGGTTGGACTTTCCGTGCGATCTAAATCAATTGGTATTTTTAACATAGTGTGAGCAGTTTTACCTACTGGTAGCAATGTTGCAGCTATACCTGATGAAGCCACGGCACGAGCAATTTTACGGTGATTTCGAACATAAGCTAATATTAATTTATCCAAAAAGGTTTTCCCAGTTCCTACAGGTGCATCTAAAAACCATATTGTTCCCAAATTATTCTGAAAACTCTCGCAAACGCGATCATAGACTGAACGTTGTTCTGCAGTCATCATTGGGACACCGTTTTCTAATGTTGCCAGCAGTTCCATTGAGTTGTAACCGACTTGAGACTGTTCACGAAAACGTTGAAAGTATACAAATCTATTCCGTGTCACTTGCAAGTGGTAACCATAAAATTGAAGGCATAACATCTTTTTATTATAATTAGGTGCGCCTGTACGCGGATCAGTATGGTATAAAGCGAAATTATAACCATCTTCCCCTCGAGAGTATATCAAAGGATATTGCAAACTGTTGTAAGCCCTGTGGGTTTCGTAAATACGTTGCAAACGATTGTCTCTGGAACGGATAACGATATCACGCCTACCACATTCCTGGTCGACCAATACTATAGCAACTTCATTAGTTGATGGAACATTATAACGCCCAGGGTGTTCCTGAATTACACACCTATCGGCATTTATAACAATTTTATAATTGTTATCACCATCTTGATGAAGAGCTTCTAATGCCGATTTAAAACTGCATACATACGAATTAATCTGATGCAACATGTTCTGAAGTTGTGAAATAAGTTCAGTATTTAAATTCGGGAAATATTGATTTCTTATATTCGACTGTTCGTTGTAGTCGGATACATTGAGAACGCATATTTCTCATTCTATTAGCTTCTCTCGAATTTTGAGATAAAGATGATCGTTTTTTAGGTGGCATTGTGTATTTTATTTTTAATCGACGGCATTTAGTTACCTAACAAAATAATCTACGTTAGAGGTCCTAACTATAGCTACCATATACTTAAAAAAATTTAAATGCCTACTTAAATAATAAAACGAATCCTAAATAAATCCTTAAATCCAAAATTAAATTCTTAAAAATATATAAGTAGGTACCTAAACTACGTCTAATAGAATGAAATAACCTATTTGATACCTAGGTACCTATTTAAAACTACAGCTATATAAAAAAAAGTTTAATTTATAATCAAGCTAATACTAAGAAATATTTAAACACAACCAAAATAACTAATACCTATTTTATAAAATAACAACCAAAGAAATTTAAAAATAAATTTTTAAACGTAAGAGTAGACTAAAAGTCTACTCTTACGTAGCTCTTAGTCGCTGATAAGCACGGCTTGTTAAAATCAATTCTTGTCTGTCAATAAGGTCGAACACTGAACGTATTCGCATCCACAGCCCAATCTTGTATGAAGCTCGCACTCAGACCCCCCGCCTTTTTATACCTCCCGCCGGGAGCCGCGTAGAGCGCTACACAATAATAATCATTATAGCATGATTCACAGTATTCACGCGCGATGGCTTATTACCGTATTTCATGTATAACTTTGGTGTTTCTATACCGATTTCTATGATTCTTTTTTATTGAATAGATAATAATGTTAACTTTTTTTTAATTAGGGATGAGTGAGAGTGTTATAAATGTAAGAGTAGACAAATATAATCAAAAAGCTCCGAACTGCTAAGCTATCGGGAGTTACACGTGTTATTGTGAGTCAACCTTAAAAGATAGACATATGCTGTCGTGGGATATTTTTTATATAATTTTAAGGAGAACATTTCCGTTATACATGATTTCTGTGTAGCTTTAACCATTAGGGCTGCACACGCGACGGAAGCTTAAAAAATGGAGTAATTTCTCCCGTTTCCTCAACATTTACCTTTACTGTTCTGCTCTTATTGATTGTAGCGTGATGAAAAGTATACTATAACTTGCCCAGGAGTATGAAAAATAATTGTACCAAGTGTCGTTAAAATCCGTCGAGTAGTTTTTGTTTCTATAACGAACATACAGACAGGCAGACAAACAAAAATTTTACTGTTTGCATTTTTGGCATCAGTATCGATCACTAATCACCCCCTGATAGTTATTTTGGAAATATATTTCATGTACAGAATTGATCTCTCTACAGATTTATTATAAGCATAGATTGAAACATTTTTTTAGTCTAAAACTTAATTAATTATCATTAAGTTCAGTTTGAATTTCTTGTAATTGGCCATTTGTTTCTTAAAATATTGCCCTTGGAATAAAATACTAGCAAAAAAGACCAAAAGAGACAAATGGTGATATTTTTTAGGGTTCCATAGTCTTTTTTATATAGAATAAGGGTGACAAACGAGCACACAGTCCACCTGATTGTAAGTGATTACTGTGGCCCATAGACATCTACAACTATCTTCATATGCGAATTAAAATGCAGATGCGTTGTCAGCCGTGAGGACTAAGATAGAATGCCTCTTTTCCAGTAAAATGGGTCTCCGGATCTCTACACTCACCATACGAATCACAACAGCATTAAGCTGCTATTTCACGCTGGTACTCTGCGAGAGCGCGGTCCTTCCCCAGTCGAGCCGACCCATTCGTGATACAGCTATACTATTAATATAGCTGCAGCATGGCTCTACCACGTAAAGTTTAATAACAAGGCCTCCTTATAGTTTTACCACGTCCGTCCGACCATTAGTCCGGACGCTCGCGGTTTTGCTCAAAGACCCTAGGTGCTACATGGCTGTAATTTGGCATAGTAATAAATATCAATTACGCCTACAAAGTTGTGAAATAAAATAATATATATATAACGAAGTTAAAACGAAAAATATCATAGCTAATTAGGCTTTAGTAGACTAACTGCCGCACTTAGAGAGCTTCATTAAATTCACCCTAACGACAAAATTAACAAATTATCATTATTTTCGTTAATGAGTGATGCGTTCCAGAGACTAAATTTAATGATTCATTAGCTAATTAGCAACTTAAGGACACATGCGACCGTGCTTGGTAATATCGATAGATAACGATAAATCTCAAAGGTTGCTATGTAAATAAATAGGTTTACGGAAATAATAGTTTTTCGGCTTTATTCAAAACGAACATATTAATACACATTAGTAAACAATTCAGTGTGATTTTTTCCAACACATAACATATAAAAGTATTTTAAACCATACACTGTACCGTAAAAAGTGAGACTACTAATTTATTTTTTATTGTGGCAAGCGACACCAGATGTCAGGAGTGAATGTCATTGTCAAGCACACTTTCCAACTCCTCAGAGGTTGTGTTTTGTATTGTGTTTACTGTTTATGTTGTTATTTTATTAATTCGTCGTGGGGTGTAGCGAAGCATTCTCTCTTTATTAACTCTTTATTAACATCCGGAATCTCTTCTTTAGTGGCTCCAAGAAGCTGTAGTCACAGCGGCCACACCCCGGGCAATCACGTCAGTGGACTAAAACTAAAGAAGGGGACTATATCTACAAACATATTGTAGATTAGTTAACGGATGATTCCCGTAAAAAAAGTCTACATTGATATGGCACATGCTATTGACTATCGATGTAGCAGGGTAGTGCGAAAAACCTCAAGGGCGTTCGTCAGAATCTATGTGACTTATGGGCTTTTCGCTGCATCTCGACCTCTGCTGATCATACCGGTGTACTCGTCCATTGGGCCACAGAGGTAGGGACGAGTGAAGTGGACTTGTACACGCGCAACTGCTTGTCTACTATAAATAAACTCACGCGCAGATGACCCTAGCTATTCTTTTCGGATTTGAGCTTCCTATAAAAGTTCTGCGGTGATGGGGTGGAGGCGGTGGGGCTGAAGTATTATTGTGCCAAGGTTTTAATTGACACCCTGCACGTAGACGGCCAGAAGAGAGTGGTCTCTGGGACTCTGGGTTCGGCAGCACTACTGGCGACAAAGCAGCCCTATTTAGGCTCGCTCTGCTTTCCTCTGCATAGATGAGGGGCCTAGAAAAGGTGGTAAGGTAAAAACACCCGGAATGAACCAACTTCCAGCCGAAATATATAAATAAAGCGGAAAACACGTTCTTAACAGGCTTTATCTTCTTGCTTTGAGAGTGTGGGATAGTGAAGAGATGCCTCAGGACTGGAAGGATGCGGTTATTTGTAAGCTGTACAAAGGGAAGGGGGATGTCTCCGATTGCAGCTCTTACCGAGGCATATCGTTTCTTTTTAGTGCCGGTAAAATTCTTGCGCACATAATTAACGCCCGCCTAAGTGAGGTAGCAGAACAACACCTACCAGAGAGTCAATGTGGTTTCCGTCCAAGCAGAGGCACTATTGACGCTATTGCTGTCGTAAGAAAACTCCAAGAACATCAACGGCCCCTCTACATGTGCATTGTCGATTTGGAGAAAGCATTTGATAGAGTTCCACGTGAGGCACTTTGGCTTGTTCTTAAAAAATTTGGATATCCAAAGAAGTTCGTCAACCTAATTCGCCAATTCCATGTTGGTATGAAAGCGCAATTTCAGCACGAATACGAACTTTCTGAGGAAATCCCAATCACAAGTGGAGTAAAGCAAGGATGCGTCATGGCGCCAACACTCTTCGCCATATATTTTTCGGCTGTTATGAGAGACGCATTAAAGTGTTGTAGTAACCAAATCCAGCTTAATGTCAGAACTGAAAAAGGTGTTTGACATCTCTAGATTCAAGCAAAATCTAAAGTCCAAAGACTCTGCATATTAGATATTCTTTACGCTGACGACGTGTGCCTCTTGTCAGATAGTATGGTGCATCTCCAAAGCTACGTTGACTCATTATATCGATCATGTCAACAATTTGGCCTAGTAATGAGCGCTTCTAAGACTCAAGTCTTAAAACAACCATCCAGGGGAGGTAAAGATGATCCAACAGCGCTGAATCTAGATGGGAAATCACTAGATGAGGTCCCTCACATTAAATATCTTGGTAGCAATATCCGGCGTGACCACACCTTGGCTTCGGAGGTACCATCTCACATTGCTAATGCTGCTGCCGATTTCGGGCGACTCACTGATCGTGTCTGGAAGGCCCATGATCTAAAGCTGGAGACAAAGATTAGTGTCTATAAGGTACTTATCATTCCTGTCCTTTTATATAGCGCAGAAACATTTTTTTATAGGATAAGGGTGACAAACGAGCACACAGTCCACCTGATGGTAAGTGGTTGCTGCGGCCCATAGATATCTACATCTATCCTCTATTACAAATCAAAATGTAGATGCGTTGTTACCCGTGAGGACTAAGATGGAATGCCTCATTTCAAGTAAAAAGGGC